GATTCATTTCATGTAATTTCACTGAAGAAATGAACTTGTAGCTAATTTCATAACCATGAGAATAGGTATGGATCAGTTATAAGTATAATTGATTCACTGCGAAAGTAGGATTCAAATGCATAAGGAAATTACACCATAATTAGCCTAGATGTAGTATTCAATGATCCAAATATAATACTTGCATGAGTAGTTAGGGATACCACAACCTAAGGAGCTTTTATTTGTTAATTTCTTGTATAAGTGCAGTAGGTTAAATTTCTTATCATTAATTGATAGTCTAAATAATAGAGAAACTTTAGTAATACCGGTAATTGTTCACTCTTCCTTGTGGGATCGACCCGATATATACCCTAAACTACTAGTTGATCTGTATACTTGCAGTGAACGGGTGTAATTCGGTATTTTTTAGCTTGCACGTATGTAAAATACCCGTCACCTATCTCAGTAGCAACTGGCGTAATTGGGTTTATGACAGGGGAACATACGATCTAATTTAAACAAACCCTCGTAGCGTGTTTGTTAGTTAGGATTGGGCCTTTCTAATTATTAATGCAAATCTAGAAATTAAATCCTACGGTCGTACCTAGGGTTGTTTCCTGGTTAGAGAAATAGTCAACGGTCGTACCTTGGCTATCGACAAATTAAGGAAGGGTTGGTTGTTTATCGCGTGCATGACAACTATAACTAATCTATTAATAAATGTGGAATTATCTGTGAATCAATGATCAGTGCCTGAACCATATCTGAAGTGTATCCTTGGCTAGAGTTTCTCCAATAATTATTCCTTTTATTTATTTTCTGCATTTAATTTATTTAGTTAGCATTTAATCCAAAACCCCCACATACCTTGGACTCTAGAAGAAACGAATTATCCCCAGTCCCTGTGGATTCGACCCTACTCACCGCTATATACAAAATCTGTATTTTTCTCGAGTAGGTACTTATTATTGCACAGGTTCGGCACCTGTCACCTTGGTTGACAATTTGTTTCCCTGAGCATCCATCAACACTTTTATATAGTATTAGATTAGATTAGATTGTCAATGCACCATCAATATCCTTAAATATAATAGCTTAAGTATAGTAATCAAAATACTGTTAGTAATCTGTATGATTATTTTTGATCCTTTAATGTTTTAGTTTTAGGAAGATCACAAATGCTGCGTATAAAGCATGCCATAGGCTAAATTAAGATAAATTAAGTACATTGCTAAAATGGAGAGCATTGCTAAATTAAGTACTTTAAGATAAAGACATAAGCAGCCAGATCCATTTGATGTCAGCTGCTTCAATATCCACCTCAAAATAAATTAGCCTTTGTTCTAGATTTAGCTTAATGCTAAGTCCCTTCACCATTCTTAGTAATAATTCAATTCTGCCTCAATTTTCTTCTGATCTTCAAGGTAAATGTACGATAAATTTCAAAATATATCCCAAATATATGAATTTCTTGAAACCATCCTTCAATCTCACTACCTGCTCAACAAAATGTTCCATAAACACAAATATATTAATGAATTTGGAGTTGATTCGAAGAATTGACGAGAACAACAGGGCTCCTTAGATAAATAAACATATTTAACCTAATTATGAAAGTGGATTAGGATTTGTATGGCATAATTATATCACTTAAAATGTTAAAGGGTTTAATTAAATACCTATGATCTCGAGAGCATTGTGAGATTTCATTAGACATAATTTAGATGTATCGAAAGATAATTAAAACACCCTTACGTGATACGTCTTTGACTTCTTAAGAAAATAATTGGATAATAATTCCAATTCTGAATCAAATTTTGAAACTCTAGTCTTTTGCTAATTGTTTTCTCACCTATATCTTATTTGATTTGATTATTTATTTAATTTCTTAATTAGTGATTAAAAACCCTCTAAGTTTAAATTTTGTTATTTTTATTAGAGTAATTAATGTAGGAAAAATTAACTCAATCCTATAGGTTCGACTCTGGAGTACTCCAAGTGAATTACTATTTCGATCGATCCTATACAGTTATAGAAATTCATCGATCACACAGCAAAAATGAAATAAAATTAATGCACAATAATGTCATGAGCAGAAACTGGCAGGTTGTCGAAGCCTGTACAATAATAAAATTAAACCTAATTTCCAGTTAAAATGACCAAAACCCAATTCTAAGTACTGGAGTAGGGACTCTAGGTGTGCAATGGGTTACTTGATTCACCCTGTTCCCGAAGAGTTTGCTTGATCCGATATACCGGAATGGAATGGTTATTTTTTTTCACAAATAATTATGAATTTATAGACAGGGCAAGTAGGGTCGTATCCTCAGGGATTGGGTATATTTGTTTCTTAAGAAATCCAAAGTAACACAGGGGGATGATTTTGTAGGAACGACGACAATCAAATAAATTCAAATAAGAAAATAAAAATAAATAACTAACTATAAATTAAACCACAATTCACTGAACTTAGAGTAACAATAATTAAAGGCCTAAATCAATTAAAACAAGGAAACAATTAAAAATAAAATAAAGTAGGCAACTAAAAGTCAAATGGCAATTCACTAAAATCAAGGTAATATTAATTAAAGATCTAGCCAAGAAATAACTTCAGCAATGGTTCACCTAATTGATCATCGAAGCAAAGGCAATTCCAATTATTTATCAATAAATAGGTTATAACTACCAAACAAGCGATGGCAGTCAACCCTTCCTTACTGGGTCGGTGATTAAGGTACGCCCGTTAATCACTGCTCTAATTAGGAAATAATCCTAGGTACGTCCGTAAGATTTAATTCCCCAATTGCCTTACGTATTAGAGGAGCCCTATTCTAACCAAATAACGCACTACCAGGGTTATTTCAGATTAGCCCGAGTATCCCCCTGACACAAATCTAATCGTGCCAGTTGTCACTAATTTAAGGCAATTAAATAATTACGGATTTAATGCCCTAATTGACAATAGATTATCAAATCAATTAATTATCCAGATGCAAGACAATCAATTAATTAAATAATCATAAGCTTAGCAATCTAGGAATATGCGAATACCAATAAATAAAAGGAAAAGATTAAATTAAATCGATCTCACAAATTTTTTGTGACCCAAAGCATCCGTTGTTTCCTGACTAAAAGGGAGGAATTAGTTCATGTTTGATGAATTAAGTCCACCGGAAGTTGAAACAAGAGCCGCGACCATTGTCACAAAAATTGGGAAATGCAATTCGCTCCAATCAAGAAAAGATAGCAAAGTTACAAGAGGTAGCCCTCTGTTTCATTTCGGATGACATACGAAAAAGCAAAAGCAATTGCCGATAGTTCAGATGAAGAAAAGTCAAGGTTTTTCCAAGTTTGCTCCTGACATACGTAGATGAATCCCACTGTCACAAGCTAAGGAAGAAAAGTCAAAGCTAAAGGAAAAAGGGAAGAACCATAGTACTAGTTCTCTGCATTCTCTATTCTATCTAATGTCTAACTCCTCTCTCCCTCTGGTGCGGCGGCCAAAAGAAAAGAGGGAGCTCCCTCCGCTGTCTTCGCAGCAATTTACCAAAATGGCCATGAGTTTGTTTCTTTTCCAGAAATGCCCCCTAGGATAATCTCTGTTGCTTGGGCTCCTTTTCTACTAAATTGATACTTACTATCATATTTCCGTTCTACTCACTGACATACATGCAAAATATCAAAAGTGAGCAGAATCCAGCAATTAATTCACATCAACTCAGATAATAAGGGAAATTAATAATAAAATAAACGATAAAATTGCAGCCTATCAGAAACAGTTCCCATCTTAGTTGTTCAACATTCACGGTGGATTTCAATTAGTGGTAAAGAGATAAAGGCATCGAAAAATGTAATCTAATTACTAGATAATTGAATTTATACTACAACATATTTCTTTTTTCTACCGCAAAAACATAACTAATTTAAGACAATATAGTCCAAGCTAATTGAAGATTAATTTTCCCTAAAAAATGTTCATGATAAAAACTCAACAAAGAGATAATACAAAAACTTACTTTTGGAGGTGATGTTATACGGTCTTTTTAACAAACTAATTAGCCACCTAAGTCTTTTTTTTTTTTGGGACTACACATGACAAAATGAGGAGTGAATCAGTCACTCAGTATCTAAAATTTTCCCTCCATATAATTAGTTCAACCTGATTTAAGACTAAAATTTTTACCATAGGAATATTCGTGATTCAACAATGAAACACCATAGAAATTTAATTTGGGAGATTGTCCTAGAAGATAAAAAATGAGCAACCAATCAGAAAGTCGTACTCACATATCAAAATCGAGTTAGTCTACTTAATTCACCAGCTATGTATATTTCATCCATTTTCACATTATAGAAAGAACAATAATGCATGGCATTATCCATCATAAATTGCTCATAAAACATCAAGATATTCATGGTGTGGACCTCAAATGACTCATCGTGTCTACTGGCTACATTTTAAACATATCTTATGGCCAGAATGTTCATCTTATCAACTTAACGAGTTTATTCATGGTACCATACCATTAAATTAAAAAAGTTTCCACCTTTTACCTTTTATAGATGTCAAGGAATATAGCTAATAACACACTTTTGGCAGCAATCTTCCTTCACCCAATTAAAGATTTTCGGAGCTTAAAGTTCAGCTCCTAAAGCTCTTCTCCAAGTCTCACAAACCAACAGAGAAATTACTTTTAGGAAAGTTGTTAAATTTTGGCACACTAGGTTTTGATGGTATCTTGGTAAGCTTGGAAGATTATATTGTGCTTCTAAGATAATGTTTAAAAAAGCTATTTTAGTGACGGCATTATGGTCAATTTGCCCCTGATGATATTGATATTAGGTCCCATCAACATCAGAAGGGAGCTCATTGTATTATTGGATATAACAAGGGTGGTAGTGAAATTATGAAAACCATCAAGGGAGGTTTTTGAAATTAACCCTAAAATATTCATCCCACGCAAGGCGTGGTGTTCCCCCCTTTGTTCCTATAAATAGGGCTGCAACTCCATGCACTTATCACTCGATAGCAATAATTTAGCACATTACTTACATTTTGAGTGAGCTTGTGATGAAATGGCACCTTCAAAAAATTTGCTCTTTGTTTTTGGTGTTCTCTTTGCACTTGTGCTCCTCATTTCCTCTGATGCAACAGCTGCAGGTACCTTTCTTTTTTCCTTTCTTCCTTTTTTTTTTTTTGGCTGCACCTAAATACTCAAATGAATGGAGAATAGGAGACTCATTATTGGGATGTGAATTTTTATGGAAGGCTATTAGTATATTATCAAGCAAGTCATATTAATGTGCTAATATCTTTTTCATTGTTTAGCAAAAGTAAATCTTGGTTGCTTCCATCAATGGTTAGTGGCACATCTGATTTTTCATGCATCCTTATAGTATTGCTGTAAGGATACACGTTCCATAGTGTCACACTAAAGGTTAAACTAACGTTGAAAACCAAATTAACTGCTTCTAATTATAATTTATTGAATAGACTATTAAAGCAAAATAATCCATGTCCAAGTCGCACCATCTTATATGCCTGGACTGTTTTGTTTAATCCATTGTATTCTTTTCTTTGCATATATCTTGCAAATTTTCAGCCTAGCCGGTCACCTAACGTTCGCAGCTTAAGATAAAGCTCCAAATATTAATGTCTCCTTCTGTCTTGAAACAGATCAGAAGAGCGTGAAAACCACTGGTGTCCACGATGCCAGTTCAGGTCAGGTTCATCAGGATAGCATAAGCGAAGATCGTTGCAAATATCGTTGCTGCCGCTGGTACCATGGACAGTGCCAAAAATGCTGTCGAACTGCTGAGGAGACCCCTGAAGCTACATCCGGAGATGAGGATACCGTAACCGCAGATCGTTGCAGACATGGTTGCTGCCGCTGGTACCATGGAAATTGCCAAAGATGTTGTCCACCTGCTGAGGAGACCACTGAAGCTACATCCGAAAATGAGGATACCGTAACTGCAGATGGTTGCAGACATGGTTGCTGCCGCTGGTACCATGGACGCTGCCAGAGATGCTGTCCAACTGCTGAGGAGACCCCTGAAGCTACATCCGGAGATGAGGTCAAAAATTAATGCTAAATAAATAAGGGTGTGACACAGGATCCGTGACACCTATATTATTACCTTAATATGTTGTGTTTGCCTTTGATGGTTGATTTCCTGTATGTGTAAAAGACTTGTGCCACTTCTCTTTGAATTGGTGTAGAATCAACAGGGGAAGCACGTAATGAGTACTCAGTTCGAGTGCTCTTCTTATGTTGTTGTCAAGTTGAATAAATAAATCTACTTGATCATCTACTACAATTGATGATCTCTATCTCAGTTACATCATAAACTTCTGTACCTTGGACCCGCTAGAATTTAGTGTGATTGATATAAGACGTGCAGAATGTTCAATATATGTATATATGTGCTTCTTCATCGCGCCATGCCATTACAATGTGAAAGAATTCAGCATCGACAGAGTGAAACGTTCCCAATCCTGCTCCTGAGAAAGGAAACAAAGTCCCTCAAAAATGGATATTTTGGATGCCATCAAGTTTTTGATTTGAATGCCATTTGGAGATCTGAATATTGTTTTTTTTTCCTTTATCTTCGTTCAAGATTTTTTTGGTGGAAATGCTTCATTTATACGAATTTTCCTAGTTAGTAAATGCTTCTATTACACTTGTACAATACACACTTAAAAGTATAACACAATAAAAGCTTGTGTAGTTCATATATTTCAAAAATATTCATACTTTTCAACTAAACTATAAAAATACGTAATAAATTCCTGGTACATTATACTTTACGAACAAGACTCTAAATTTTAAAAATATTTAATACTATCACTTATCAATAACTCCACATGTTAATTTGTCTCCCAATTCAATAAACTATAGTAGCTAATTCTCAAAGCTAACCGACACCAAAATTCCCTCACTTGTTCACCTCCTAGTGGATTTATACTAATTACATTGCATTTATTTTCTAAGCATGAGTTTTGTAACCCCTCATATTATTAAATCTCAATTAATTGATTTTAACGGTTACTAAGGCGTCTAGTAATTGGTTTGCTATTAATTTGAACTAGACATTTATTAGGTCTAGTAGAATTTATTCCTTCTTATCACTTAGTTCATAAACCTTATGAATCGTTAAAACCAGCTCTAACATTAGCTAACAAGACTTCTACAATTTCGGGTTTTGCTTAGAAATCAGTCTGATAGTTTAACTTGCTTCGTCCAACTTTATGAGTTGCTTTTTTTTTTCTTCCATATTTGACATTTCATCTGACTTTAATATGGGGACCAAGTTAGTATTGTTGGCATTTCATATCTAAGACTTCTTAATTAATTGATTTGTTATAAGAACTATAACGTATGCGTGTTTTGTAAGCTTTCATGTTTTTTTTTTTTTTTTTTAATTCTTGAGGACCAGCAACGGATTAGTTTCTTCTAGTACCAAGCTTCCTTTGAAGTTCTTTATTTTCTTTTTTGCGTAAATTAAAAGAACCAACAACTTTGAACAAGCCTATATCTAGTAAAGATAGATATAAAGAGGGATACTATATATACACAGATTATATAATTTTTTTTCAAATGTATGATTAAAAGTTTAGTACAAAAATACGAGTTTATCATTATTATGGATATAATATAAATTCATATATGAATAGTATGAATAAATCTAAATGTTATAGAATTAGGTATACAAGTGAAATTACTATAATTTTGAATGATTATGCTAGTTTTATATCAAATTTAATGCTGATCCTTGTGTATATGACATCAGATTTATTAAAGTTTTATCACTTTTTTTACATTTATATGTATAATCCATCTAAGTTTGTTATTTGACAATACCATTTTATATATAACTCAAAAGGTACGTCATTATCTTGTCTCACTTTTTAAAATTTAAAGTATAAATCATAAAGGATAATGCATCCAAAAAAAAGTATAATGCATCAAGAATTTATTATATATTTTTATAGGTTAGGTGAAAAGAATAAATATTCTTGAAATACACGAACTACAGAACCTCTTTTGTGCTATACATATAAACGCGTATTCTAGAAGTATAATAGAATTGTTTACTAACTAGGCAAATTCGTATAAATGAAGCAGTTCCACCAAAAAAATCTTGAACAAAGATAAAGGGTTCAGATCTCTGAATGCCATTCCATTCAAACTCTTGATAGCATCCAAAATATCCATTTGAAGGACTTCAGTTTCTTTCTCATCAGGAGGGAACGGAATTGAGTTTGACTCCGTCGATGCTGAATTATTTTACATTGTAATGACATGGTACGATGAAGAAGCACATATATACATATTATTGAACATTATGAACGTCTTATATCAATCACACTAAATTCTAGTGTTCCCGAGGTACAGAAGTTTATGATGTATAAGGGGTTTCCTCAGAAGTTCGACAGCATCTGGTGCATCGTCCATGGAACCAACGACAGCAACCAAATCTGCAACAATCTACGGTTACGGTGTCCTCATCTCCAAATTTATTCTCACGGATCTCCTCAGCTGTTTGACAGCATCTCGTGCAATAGATGGGGTACCAGCGGCAGCACGAAATCTGCAACCAGTTAAGTGATCAATCTCACCTGAACTGGCATCCAGTGGTCTTCATGTTGTCGTGATCTGTTTCAAGACATAAATATTAGGAGCATCGTCTTAAAGTCCAAAACGTTAGGTGACTGGCTAGGTTGAAAATTTGCAAGATATATGCAAAGAAATGAATACTATGGATTAAACAAAACTGTCTAGGGATATGAGATGGTGCAACTTGGATATGAATTATTTCGTCTTATAAGCTACTAAATATGACATTTGGGTTTTGACGTTAGTTTAATCTTTGTCGTGTTAAACAATAGTGTGACATTTTGGAACGTTTATCCTTGCAGTAATACTATAAGGATGTGAAAAAGATATTAGTACTTTAATATAACTTCCTTGATACTATACAAATAGCCTATCATAAAAATTCACGTCCCACTAATGTGTCTCCTAAGCTCCATTCATTTAAGTATTCAGGTTCATCCAAATAAATAAATAAAGGAAGGAGGAAAAAGATTAGGTGCATTCAGTTGTTGCATTAGAGGAATTGAGGAGTACAAGTGCAAAGAGAGCACCAAAAAGAAACAGCAAACTTTTTGAAGATGCCATTTGAACACAATCTCACTCAAAATCTAAATGATGTGCTAAATTTATTGATATCTAGTGACAATTGCATTGAGCTAAACAATATTTTGTTGATATCTAAATGACCTCATTTTTTATGTTGATGGGACCTAATGTCAATATCGTCAAGGACAAATTGACTGTAATACCCTCATTTAGAAGCAAAATATCATATTCCAATTTTACCAACATGCCATCGAAACTTGTCACCAAAATTTAACAACTTTACTAAAACTAATTTTCTAAGGCTGGTGAGCTTTGGAGAAGATCTTTAGGTGCTGAACATTAAGCTCCAAAATATTTCATTGGGTGAAGGAAAATTGTTGAAAAAAGTGGCTTATTAGCTTTATTCTTTGATATTTATATATAATAATTAAAAGATGAAAACTTTTTTAATTGAATGTGGATATTCACAACAAAATGAGGTACCGAATGGAAGTTTATGGTCTTCATGATTGATGTGGTTCCATGAATAAACTCGTAGAGCTGATAAGATGAACATTCTGGCCTTAAGATGAGTTTAAAATGTTGCCATGGTAGACATGATGAGTCATTTAAGGACCACATCATGAATATCTTGATATTATATGAGCAATTTGCGATGGATAAAGCCATGCATGCATGTGCTTTATATAATGTGAAAATGGATGAGGTAGATAAAGCTTGGTGAAGTAAAGTAAGTATACCGAATCGATTTTGACATGTGAGTAGGATTTTCTGCTTGGTTGCTCTATTTTAAGTGATTATCACTATGTTGACAAAGATCTTGTCGGACAATCTCCCAAAATAAGTTTCTATCGTTTTTTTTTACTGAATCACGAACATTTCTTTAGTGAAAATTTCAATCTTAAATTAGGTTGGACAAATTATTTGGAGGGAACATTTTAGATAGTAAGTGACTCATTCACTCCTCATTTTTGCATATATAGTTGAAAGAAAAACATAAGTTTAAGCGACTAATTACTTTGTAAATAAAGATCGTATAAGATCACTTCCAAAAGTAAGTTTCTATACCATATCTTTGTTGAGTCTTATCAAGAAAATTTTGGAGGGAAAATTAATCTTCAATTAGCTTGGACTACATTAGGCTACTACTTGGTTGATTGTCAATTTTATCATTTTTATTGTTATTAAAAAATCCATAATGTGAACACAAAAGTAAACGAGGATATCACAAAAATTGATTATCTATAATCAAAATCTCTAAATAATTAAAATAGTCAATCAAAAACAAGCATGTTGTAGTATAAAATTTTTTAGGTAGACTACTTTGTCTGTACCTTTATATGTTGACTACTAATTGAAAGCTACCATGAATTTTGGATAAATAGGACGGACCTGATTCTACTCATGGCATTATTGTGTATTCAAAATTATTTTTTCCTTTTAGCTGCTGTGCTTCATGCCATTTGGAATAGTTCACTCCTTATTTTATATTTTTTTCTTTTTTTCTTTTTTTGGAAATAGCCCTTTTTACAACATAAATATGTTACAATATTTCTTTTAGGGCCTATAAAGGTAAATATGGAACAAAATGTGCTGACACCATTTCTTGTCAATCTATTGCATTTCTTTTACGGACATGGGCTAACTTGGTTACAAAACTAGTTATAAGTAAGAGTGATCAGCGTAATATCGAAAACAAGAGGGGCACTAGGTGAAATTGTCCAAACATTCAGGGGAAGTTTGTGAAATTATCCCAATAGTTTGAGTACCTGCCCTGTTACTTGCATTAGAGTGACCCTTTATTATTGACTAATGCAGACGTCCATGTCTGCAGTCTCAGGACGGAGGAATAAAGTATTTATTGTCCTTGTACGAGTTATATATAGTCTTTCTTGACTGCAAAAGTTGATAATTGAGCTAAAGAATCGAAAGATAATGTGGCCATTTTTCAATCTCTGGATAGGATTATAGTCTTTCATGATTTCTAAAGTGGATAGTTGAGCTAAAGAATAATAAGATAATGTGGCCATTTTTCAATCTCTGATAGGAAGGATATCAATCTCCTCCTTTTCCGTCTTCATGTCTGGATTGTATATCAATTTCTTTTTCTTTTTCGTTTGTTGGTTAGGTAAACTTTCATTTTCATCAGTCTAAAGGCCTAAAGGTCCCTGCCCATTTCAGAAATTTACCGATTTTAAGTGG